TGGAGGAGATGAGCCACCGCAACAAGATGAAACCGAACGAGGAGTCCTGGACGTGGGTGATGAAGGAGTGCGTGAAGAGCGGGCAGTTCCGCCTCGGCTATTGCATCCAGAAGGTGATGGAGGCGGAGTTCAAGTCGTGCCCTGCCGACCTCGTGAAGCAGAACGATGCGAACGCGGAAAAGGCCAAGACGGAGGGTGAGGAGCACCCCGGCCACCTCTCAAAGCAGGTCGGCCTCTTCGACGTGAAGATTGAGTAGGGAAGGGTAGTCTAATGTGTTTGTGTCTGTTGAATGCGTGTGAGACGAACGGTGTTAAAATAGGTAGGAGTTATTCTCGGGTTATTAGCGTTTGGTTGAATGAGATGTTTGGCGAGAAAATGGGTACATCTCTGTACGTGTGTGTGTGTGTAAGTAGGTGGGAGATGTGTGGGAGGAATGAATGCATTTCAACTGGCGAGGCACTGACGTGAAATTGTGCGTGGGTTCATTGTGGGCCGTTGCCTGTTATCCATTCCCTTTTTGTTTTGTTTTGTTTTCATTTTTCTAATATTATTGTTTTTCCGCCTGTCTCTCTGTCCCTGTCTCTATCAAGTGGTTGAGGGTGCAGGGAAGGGCACAGCAGCACGCCGTGTGCGTCACACTTGCCCGCAGCAGCGAAACCAACAACCGCAGCAATACATTGCCGGATGCAGCGTCAACTCTGGCTCTTTGCGCCGCCGCACCCGCCCAGCTCTGCCCGTATTCGGCTCTTGACGTACCCCATGGCGTTTGCGCAGCCACAGGCCACGGTGCCTCTTCTGCACACTGGTGCAGGCAAGACAGATGGTGAGAAGGGCGCAGCATCAGCGTCGACGAGCCTTCACGTGCGGATGCGGGACACGACGAGGGAGTTTCACTCTCCTCATGCGGATGGAAGCGGTGTTGTTAACCCGCGTCGTTGGGTGCGTGACCCGGACGAGCTTTGTGTGGCGTCTATGCGTCGAAGCAAAAACATGAATAAGATTAACACGTACGTGGCAACGTACAAGTTTGACGACCCGCAGTGGGCCCCGTTGCTTCTGCCGCAGGTAACGTTTCGCCCACGACAACACCGGGCGCAGGAACAACAACACAGGACGCATGCGGGGGTTGAGGCTACTGACGCTGCCGCTTTCGCACCACCCAATGCGCCACCGCCGTCGTCCGAAGGCCCATCCGCGTCGTTGCACGGCAACAGTGACGGAGGCTGCCGTGTCACAATCGACCACAACAAACTGCTTACACTGGAGTGTATGTCGCGGCATGTCAACTTTTCCCTGCGGCACATTGTACAAAAGGGTCATGGTGTTTACCTCCTGCATCATGCCCAGCACAGCCTGCTTCGGCCGAAGGGAATTGTTGAACAGTCCTTTGTGTCGTGTGCGTTTGGTATCCGCGGCGAGCGGCTGCGCACGGATATTGTGCACGTTGGCCCGCTTGATGCCATGGACGTACTCGACCTAGAGGAGGGTCCACATGGGCATATACGGGGCGTCTTTAACTTTCAGAAACCAGATATCCCACGTGGTGTGATCGCCGTCTCACAGGTGGAGGGCTACGGCACATGGTTTCAGCGGAAACCGATGCTTTGGCAGCGTTCACGCCGCATCGGGGCCCTGCAAAGTCAACTCGGGGCTTTCACGTATGACCTCGTCCCACCACAGGAAGTGGGCAAGCAGCGTGAGTGCGAAGTCTCTCTGCTGGCGTCACACATGCGTTTCTTTGGCAATGGCACGAGTGGTTCGGAGGCCGTAGGCATCATTGCCTCCTCGCAGGTGGCGCAGCAGGATCGACTTTACTTGGGTCAGTTTGAGGCCCCTGCCATGACGGCGCTTGATGCGGTGCATCAGCTGGCGCATGCCTCCGCCCTGCGCTGCCGTCTCGTGAGGCCGCTGCGAAGTCACACAGAAGGGGCTGCCAGCGAGCGTCCTGGCACCGAAGAAGAAGAGGAGGATGATGAGGAACTTGAGAAGTTAGTGCCCCTGAGTTGGGCCACGCGCACACCGCCGCCGTATGTCCCGCTTGAAGCGGACCTGCCGTTTAAGCTGCAGATGTCGAAGCCAGCCGTGTTTGGCGGCGAGGAACAGCTGGAACAGCAGCACGGTGTGTACCCGACAGGCGGGACCGTTGGCTCTCCATTCGTCCGCGGGGCCCCGATCATGCTGTTTGAGTACAACCTGCACCAGGGTGTGGACCACTACGTCTTCGACGACGCCCCGAGTGCGCGGCCAATGAAGTGGTGGTCGCAGAAGAGTAACCTGCCGTACAGCGGGTACATGTATTTTGCGCGCAGCGGGGTGATTGATCAGCTGTCTCCCTCGGAGGATATTACTAACCCGCTCGAACCGGCAGCGCAACGCAAACCCCTTCACACGCTTGTCCCACCAACGAAGAAGGTGCAGCACCGCCTGAGGCAGTACAAGCAACGACTTCGGGAGGAGACGCAGCGGGAAAAGGCGACACGAGCAGCACCCGCACGCTCGGCCGCCGCTGCCGCTGCCAAGGACGACGGCGCAGGCGGCGGGGACGGGGGGTGAAAGAAAAAAACGAGAGAAAGAGGAGGAGAGAGAAGGGGGGAAAGAAAGAAAGTGGGAGGACACAAAGGGAGGCGGCGACTGCCAAAAAGGAAAAAGGTGTCCTGCCGTAAAATCAACACCGAGGAGAATATTAACGCAACGAAGAGTGATGGGGAGACGCAGACGAGCAAAAAAAAAGGAGGGGGACGAAACAAAGTGGCGCATTTTCTTCGCCCAGGCGGGGCGACGCCTGTACGCGTGCGATGCCGGTCGCTGTGTTCTTGCATTCTGCCGTTCACCTTTTGTTTTCTCTTCTTTTTGCCTTTGTTTCCGCAGGTGGCGGTGGTTTTTGCGTGTGTCTGTGTATCTCCTCAAATGCGTGACCCGAAGGACTTTTGCCAGGTCACTAAAAAATTCCCTCCACCGGAGGAGGGTGAACGGTGCTGCAAGTTTCTACTTGATCCCTTGCATGATGAGGTGGAGAGGGAGCACCGCATGCTGGAACTCGTCCCTGGCCGCATGCAGCTTGTGGATGGCGTGAATCACAACTTCATCGTTGGCGGCGTTGAGGAGCACAGCCTGGAGGGACGCGCCTATCCCTACCACAGGGTCAGCCTGGGTCGCACAGAGCGGACACGCATGGCGGTGCCCCCCGGCGTTGAGCCACGGACGGAGTTTGTGGCTCTTGGTCGGCGAGGCCTGGTTGGGTACAACAGTAAACGCCCGGTGGTTGTATACGTTCCCGAAGATGCCAAGCTGCGCTACCGCATCTGGGAGGGCGGCGAGGAGTGCGTTGCGACTGAGCTCTAAACCAACTTGTCGCCTTGTTTTGATGTAAACAATATTTTTTTCTATCTGTAGCTCGTGTGTTTATTTATGCACGTTTCTGTTTGTCGTCGTCGTCCTCGTGACGTTTTACCCATCCCTCTCTCTCTATCCTTCTGCCAAGTAAGGGGGCTTGTGGGAAGAAAACGCAAAAACAAAACAAAAGGGTGTGTGGCCAGTTGCGACTAGTCGTGACCGAAAGTGCACTCCTTTTTGGCCATCGTGTTGGTCTTATTTTGATGCTGTTTATTTGTTCCTCGTTTTGTATTGTAAAAACGTGCCGCGTTGGAAGACGATGATCACAGGTGTTTTTGTTACCTTTTTTTTTTTGTTTGGTTCAGTCCACCTTCCGGGCCCAGCTACTCCAGCGGGGGCGGCTACTGCTACTACTACTACTACTAACGCCCTCCATGCGATGGGGGTGCTGTGAGGCGTGCACACCTGCCGCTTACGCCCACTTTAACCGCGTTGAGTTGGCACACACACACACACACACCACGCACGTCTCCGTCCATTATGAAGGGATGGAGGTTTGCGGCCTTTCTGCAGGGATGTGTCTGCTTTTCCTCTGATGCTGCACATGCCGAAGGAAGTACAATAGTAAGGCACTGCAAAGGGAAAAAAAGGAGGGGAGGGCGTGTTGTGGAGCCGTCGTTGCAGCGTGTTTGTTTGCGTACCGCGCTGGCCGGTGCGCAAATGTACAGTAGAGGGCGGGAGGGGTTGCGCAACCTTGACATGGCGCTGGAAGCGCTGCGCCAAGGTGCTCTCAAGGAGTCACGCGCAACCAGTGTGGAGATGAGGCGTTATATGATTCGCGAGGATGTCCGTCGGCAGAACCAGCAGCCTCAACGCAAACAACAGGAACAACAACAACGGTTGCAAGGAGGGGAAGGGCAGCAAGCGTCGTCTTCCGCACTCTCCGTGAGCGTGCATGGTTCCCCCACAGAGTCGGGGGCTCTGTCGACATCGAGGTCGGTCGGTGCTGGGGGAAATGACAAGACCAGTGGCACGGCCAAGGCGGAAGGCCTTCTTCCAGTGTGGTACGACGGCTATTGCCCGACACCACCGGGGACAGTAGAGCAGGAGCCAAAGAGACGTGCGACTACTGCTGCCTGCAACGAGGCGGAGTGCGGTGCTGCTGGTAGGATAGGAAATGGCGAGGAGATCGACATGGTCGTAGATGTCAGTCAGCGTGTCTCGCAGGCAGAGCGCACCCTGTATCCCGTCCTTCTCGCCGAAGTGGCGGAGTGCGCCACCACGGACGCGAGGAATAACGGGGGGATTGAATTGGGCGTGGGCAGTAGTGAGGTGATTGAGTGGGATGAGCGTGGGGCACCCGTGCGGCTACGGAGTTTGTGGCATCCAGCCAGTCCGAGGGGACTTCTCCCCGTGCCTGGGGTTGCGGATGAAAAGCGGGAGTCTGTGACGGGTGGCGTCGCGCTTTCTGGTCGCACCTCCGCAATGAAGACAGAGACAACGGCGCAGATCCCCGAGTTTGGTACGAAGTTGTCTGTTCATCCCCACGGGTACGCTCGGCAGGGGCATCTGTGGACGTCGACGCCTATTACGGTGAATCCAGCGCAAAAAGGCGTCTCTCCATCTCGTCGCGGGGATTCGCGTGACACAAGGGCCAAGGGCCTTATGAACAACACACGGCAGATGATGCCCAATTCGCGTGACCCAAGCAACGGCACACGCGGTCGCAGCAGGCCGCCGCTCTCTACGGAGGGTACAGCTGTTGCTGAAAGTAGTGCGAGCGCCATCGCCAGGCGAATTCGTCGGGCAGTCGTGAAAGAGTGCATGGCTCTGGTTGAGAGTGATAAAAACGGTGTTCAGAGTGGAAGTTGCTCCCCTCCCTCTTTGGACCTCGGCCTTGGCGGTCGCTGCTCCGTAGTGTACGAGCCGGAAAACGTGGAGTGCCTTGTTGCGCAAGTGGTGCATCCTGTCGCGGCTTTCTTCTGCACCTCCTGTGGGGCCTGTTCAGCGCGGGATGTTGTGACAGGTGACCCAAACACCTGCGCTGCGTGTGGGGAACCCTTCGAGGAGCTCCCCCCGCCCCCCCAGCACGCATGCCTCATGGACACAGTAGTGACGGAAAACAGAAACAGTGCCGCTTCGCAAGCAGCGGGTGTGGCGGTAGGACCCCCGGTGTCAGTGAAGAAGAAATGCGCAGCGACAACGTCGACGATGGCCACCACCACCACCACCACCACCAAAGAAGCAACAAGAGACACCACGAATGCGTGTACCGGCACGACTCCTACGGTGACAAAAGTGGCTGCAGGTACGCAGGCTGGCCCAAGTTGCAGCATGCCCCGTCTCGCCGTGACTGCCGTACAGGGGGTTTATTTTATGCATCTATGGGACCTAGCCACTGCTGCCCGCAACAAGTGAGGCGCCTTGGGACATTTTTCCTTCTTGCATTGAGGCGGTGCTATTATTTACGCCTTGTATCTGTGTACTTGGACTGGGGGAGGGCCAACTGATGCATGCGGGGATTGTTGCATTTTTTTTTATTATATTTTTTTTTGTCGTACTCCATTTACTGCGTGTGTTTTTTTCTCGATATTGCCATCATTTTGCTGCCATCCGTGGCGTATTTAGGTTTTCCGTCTGTTTTGTGTGTGTGTTGGCCCTGTTGTCATCGTCCAGGCTGAAGATGGCACTGCAACGAGGGGCAAGACGCAAGGGGGGGGGGGGGAGCATGTTACAGGGCTCGCTTTGTCACTTTCTCTCTATTTCTCTGTGAATGCATGTGAAAGCTAGTAGCGAGAGGGATCCGCGAACAGTCACAAATGTTCCAGTATGTTGTGCAGCAGATCCTATGGATCATCAGCGTAGCGGCACAGCTACTCGCAGCAATGGGTCTGGGCGTCAAGTGGATGTTCATGGCCATTCGTCTAGTCGCCTTTGCAGTGCTCGACATTGGTTACTTCCTTCCAAACGTGGTTCGGCACTTCACGTCGCCGAATGTCATCCGCCGTGTCTCGTACCGCTCCTCCAAACGAACCAGGCAACGCAACTTGCAGATATTCCTCCAGAAGGTGGCACGCATCCCCCCAGCGAGGTGCGACGAAGAATGCGGCGATACGGCCGCGTCTGGTCGGTGCATGGACCCGGACATGGACGCTGTGGAGCTGCTGGCCTCAACGCTAAACCCCGCCGATGGCCGGTTCACGATGGGGCTGCCGCCGGGATTATCATCGCCAACCTCGCCGTCAGGAGTTGTGGAGGATGAAGGAATGATGTCGAGAGTTGGCTCCTTCAGTGGCACTGTGGAGTTTATTCGAAACTACTACGCCGCCGCCGCCTCCGTCGCGGACGGTGCCTCAGGCGCCGTCGAGCCAGCGGGGGAGCAGAAAAATCCCGACTGGGCGCCGAGCGCAGCTGTGGACCCCACCTTAACAGGAGAGTCGGAGGATGATGAGGACGAGGAGGACAGGAAAAACCTTCACAACCGTGCCACGCTTGATATTTACTTGCCGGTCCCCCTCGACGCACTCTTTCGCATGATGGAGCAGGAGCGAAAGATCTCGTCACGGTCACGACTTCAGCGCAAAAAGTTCCCTATTGTGATCTCCGTTGTGGGCGGTGCGTGGATTGTTGGTTACTCCTTTTGGAACTTTCTTTTGGCGCCTCTTCTTGCCGCACGTGGGTACGTTGTGTTCTGTCCCGACTACCGCAACTTTCCGCAGACAGACATGGAGGGGATGGTGCTTGACATTTCAGATGCAGTGGGGTGGGTGATAAAGAACGCCGAGCGCTACGGAGGGGATGTCAGGGACATCACGCTCATTGGGCAGTCTGCTGGCGCCCACCTCACGATGATGTCGCTGATTTCGCAGGCGCAGGTAAGCGCGCACGCCGTCTTTGGTGGGACACCGCCGAGCAAAAAGGCCTACAATGTCCCCCGGTACAACCCTCGCGACTCCATTCGCCAATACGTTGGACTGAGTGGAATTTATAATATTTGCGGTCTGGTGAAGCACTTTGATCGCCGGGGGCTCTACCGCAGCGTGCTGTACCAAATTGCCGGTGGCCGCTCCCTCCTGCCCCGCTACTCGCCGGCGTTGTACTTTGATGAGCGTCGATGCGGCTGCACAGGGGAGGTGCTCCCCAAAAACATCTTTGATTTTCTCCCCCAACGCATGTACTTTATTCATGGGGATGCGGACTGCAGCGCACCCGTATCGGAGTCGGCAAACCTCGCCTTTATCATGCGCAACGCTCAACGGGCACGCTTGGCCGAGCAGTACACAAACGGTGATCAAGGTCCTGGCAACTGTCAGGCACGACCGGTAGATATTGAGTACATTTTGGTCCCCGGAGCCAACCACACGGATGCCATCATTGAAGAGTGCCTGGCAGCGAAGGGTAGCTACGTCCTCGATTTCTTGTGCTACTACACCACTGCCGAGGAAAGGCGAGACAGACGTTTTATCAACGGCAACGAAAATCACGCTGAAGGGATTGAAAAGGACGAGGATGAGGGGCAAATTGATCCAACGAAGCACCCAGACGGTGTTCTTATCGCACCTGCGCCACACGCCAAGCGGCCACTGCTGATGCGCATCGGCAGCTACGTTTGTCCCTTCTGAGAACGTTTTGTTTTGTTGGCATATTTTTTGTCTTCCTTTTTTTTTTTTTTTTTGTCGTGAAGGAATTTGGAGCAGGAGCATTGAGTTTGTTGTTTTGCGTGGGGGTTGGGCCCGCTCTTGGGATGTGGGGGTGGTAGCGCAAGCAGCACTCAGCAAAGGAAGGGGGAAAAAAAAAATGTGTATGACGTGTGTGCTGTTGTTGTTTTTTTGTGTGTACGATACATGGCATTTGTTTTTTGGGTTGTGACGTCGCCACACCTCTTGCGTGTGGTTGTGTGTTGGGGATAAGGGTGCTGTCAGTTAGGGGATGCAGTCGCACGTTTATATCTACTCAGCGTCTCTTGCTAAGGAGGGAGGGAGAGAGCATACTTCTTCTTGCCGAGTTTCGCACGCAGAGGGCAACACAGTCGACCTTGTCGCCAAAATGACGACGCGCAGGGCAGAGGGAAGAGGCGAGGTTCAGTCGCCAAAAGTAATCAGAATTTGTCCTTCGCAGGGCGCAGGAGCGCACGCACTGCGGTGCCCCTTCTGTGCCAGCCGACAGACCCCCGCTTTTGCGAACCCCAATTTAGAATGTGTGGTTTTACGTGCGTTTCCCATATTTCATTGCGTTTTTTTTTTTGTTTGTTTGTTTGTTTGTTTGTTTGTTGTTTTTCTCTCATGCATCCGTGCAGGACGTCACGCCGGGGAGAAGAGGTGCTGCCTCATATCTTTATTGAGCTGGGACGGTTGCGTCTCTGCCGTGTCATTGCCTTGCTGCTTGCGTGGGCGCATGCGAGATTCCTCTCTCCTCCTCTTTCTCTTACTGGCACTGTGATGAGGGGGAAAGGGTGTGTTGCCCAGCGTTACAGAACGGGGAAGGAGTTAACGCGGCATTGCGTATTTTTCGTTGCTGTCGGCGAAGTCTGCAGGTGATGGATGTGGAAGACGTTATTTCCCGCCATCGGGCTCGTCTCGAGGAGTACCGCAAGTTTCTGGACACTAGTGAGGCAAGTAGCACACAGCCACCCAAAAGCCCCAATGGAGGCGGCAGCGATGCATTGAGGACTGCTACACCGTTGAATGCTGTGGAGGGGGAGGCCTTTTCGCCGCTGCCTGTGCGGCCAGGCAGTGAGGCGCGTGGTGGTGTCTTGTTGTCGCCCTGCATCACCTCCATTTCACCCGTGCTGAAGAAGACGGGATGCGTTGACGGTGGGCGTGACAGGAAACTGCAGCGCGGGGAATCCGCTAATAACGCAGGTGAGGAAAGGCGGCTTCAGTGGCCGCGAGAGCTGAACACTTTTCCTGGAAGTGCAGATCCCATGCCTGAAGGGTGGAAGGCTCAGACGGGTTCTCGTGGCGGAGTGGCGGAGACTCATAGTGGGGCCGCGTTGTGTCGAGCCTTTAGCGGTCCAGCTGTGGCTCTCAGCGGCAAGCACAGAAACATTCATGATTGGCTCACTGAAGAAGAGCGTTTTTTTAATGCCCAAGTGAAGGCCGCCGGTCGGTACTACGTGACAAGACCCGACGCCATGTACGCCAAGTCACAGTTGTGGCTTGAGGGCCGAGAGCGGTCGCTTCAACAGCTGCAGCAGGAGTTTCTGCGTGATAGCCTTGAAGAGTGTTCATTTCAACCGCAGGTGGCAACGTTGCGGAGTCTACCGCGTTGGCGGAGCTCCACGCATGCCGACTCAGACCTTTGCGAGGACCCGAGTGTTGTTGCCCACCTGGAGCGAATGGAGGAGGCACGACAGCTGCGTGCGAAGGCGGAGAGGCGCCTAAAAGGCAGCAATGCGGGGACTTGGACGAACTCCGTCACAGTGCCGAGGCAGTTTGAATTCGCCAAGAAGGTTGCTGTGATTCCGTCACTGCGCAAGCCGCTTCTGAACGTCATTCCACTGTACCATGACAAAAAGTCGAAGGAGGGAGAGGCGTCGCACACTGACAGCAATTGCGCGGGCGCTGTATGTGAGAGTCATGCCCCTGCGACTATGGTGGCCCCATCCCAGCGCGAACCGCGCGATGGAGGACGGGATAAAGAGGAGGAGGAAGAGGAGGCAGTGACTGCGGTGGGGGGAAGTACACCTAATGTGGGGGAAAATGGTGGTGCCACTGTGACGGGTGACACGGCCGTGTCGCAGCTGGAGTTGGTGTCGCTGTTGGAGGCCACCGTTGCGCACCTCAAGGAGGAGCTGGCGAACAAGGAGCAGCTGCTGCAGACTCAGAGAAGGGAGTTGGCGTTGCTGTCACGGGAGCTGGAGGTGGCCAAGGCAACGGTGCGGCGCCTTTCCCTGCAGGACGTTGTGAAAATCGAGGAGAAGAGGTCTACGACACCTGATCTGGCCTTACCTCTGGAGTGCGAGATGAGCGGTGAATCCAATGCGTGAAGGGAAAAGGTAAAGTGGGTGGGTGAGTGGGCGGGCCGCTGCTGCGCGTCATTGCCGCGGTCGTCTTTGTCCTGCAGAGGTGGGGTAGTGGACATGTAAGTGCGTGTGTGGGCACACTTTTTTTGGTAGCGAGATTCGCTTTCTAAGCTTCTTTTTTTTTCCACTCTCTCTCTGTGTGTGTGTGGCTTAAGGGAACTGATGGCTGATGTTCCCGCCCCTTCCCTGTTACTATCGTTTGTGGTTGTGTGTTTGTTTTTGATTTTTATCATTAATGATCCGTCAGTTTGCTTGCTCCCACCATCAGTGTTATCATTGGATGTAGGCCTCTCTCTCTCTCTCTCTGTATATATGTTTGATTCGGTTTGTCTTCAGTGCATGTGTGACCGTGACGGGGGCCACCGGAAAAGCCACCACACGTGCAGCGAAGGATAAAGAGAAAGGGGGCAGTAATCAAACGGGCAAGTGAAGATATTTATTTTCCATTCCCTCGCACCTACACACGCACCCCACGCATGTGCCCAATGCATCTACGCCACTTATGCGGCAGTGTTTTTGTGGTTCGTGTGACATTTTTTTTTTCTGGTTGATGTTTTTCTCTGTTTCTGCTTCCATGATGCGTGTGGGGTAGGGCCACAAGTCCGGAGGTGAAGCAGTGTAGGGAGAAAAGGAAAACGGGGCGCCGCATACGCCAAATATACGCATATTAGTTTTGTTAGTTGGTGTTTGCCCTAGGTTTATAAACTTGGGGCAGGCAATGGGAAAACTGGGGGTATCGCAGATGCTGAGGTCAAGCGTTGTGCTGGCTCTCATGTTGCTTGCCTCCTCCACACTGGCGCTATCGGGTGTCGGAGAACATGTTGGTGCTTTGTTTGTCTACAGGCTGTCAGTAAAAGATGGCAGATTGGTCTCAGAGGAGCGTGTAAATTGTACGTCCCTCCCGGGTGAAGCTGGGTTGGTGAAAGAGAGCCTGTGTTCCACCGGAGTGGGAAGGCTTGTGCGCGGCCTGCTCCTCATTGACCTCCGCGCTCCGCCGGGTATCAGCCACGGTTTTGATGTCGAGTTGCGCGATTTTGCGTCACTGAGTCAATGTGTGCGGAGTTGCACCAACGGAGGCGTAGGTCTCTTGTTTGATCAGAAGGCCATAAATAATAGTGAAACTGGTCCCCCAGCAGTGCTGGGGTTGCATGTGGGTTCACCCTGCTGTGGGGAGGGCTACGCAGTGTTTGTGCTGGATGTCTCCGCACGCAAGATAGCCCAATACGAGGTGTGGTCGCCGAGCCCCCCGGAAAACTTCGTGTTTGATTGCCAAGTCTGGCAAATAAACCAGATGCCTTTTGGAGGTGCCTATATGGGGTTAGGGCTTATTTTTCCTGTGGGGCTGTACTTGTGTGATGTGCCCGTGTCCAACATCGTCAGTGATATCGACGACCGCATTCTCGTGGGGTTGCTGCAGGCGGAGATAAGCGTGACAGAGGCCGTCGAGGGTATTTTTTTCCCTCGTGAAGTGCTCACAGGCATCTCTGGGTGGATCGCCAGCAAACCTAACTCGGAGACGTCGCTGCGCGACGCTGGGGCCTGCTCCTTCCAGAAGCAAATAACAACCCTCACGGAGACGCCGAAGGAACAACTCGTTTGCAAAGTGCCCAACCTGCTCAAGGGTTTATTGCCGGTGTTAAAAATCGTAGTGAAACTCTGTATTGACCACACGCAGACAAAATTTAGTGAGTCTTCCCTTTTTGTGGACCTCAACCAGATGGTCGACCGGGAGGGGCATTTGCGTCTAAACTCTTCCGGCTCCATCAGCGCCGCGCTGAAGGATTCCAACAATGCTGTGGAAATGCCAAAAGTGGTGATTGGGGTGTTGTTCATTCGGGACCTGGTTATTTCCTTCGCACGCAACCCCAGCTTCTCACCACCGACGGCTGGGCTGCCGCTAGTGGAAATGCATGCATCAAACTTCAACTCGGATGGCTTCTTCCCCGGAATGAATGCGTCACGTAAGGAGTCAATAGCGTGTGTCTTGCCGAAGCAATGTGGGAGGGGCGAATACTACTTTCCGAGTATTGACCGTTGCGGCGCCCCACCCGATTGCGGCTCATTCCTTCCCTACCGGTACAACACGGAGACTCTGCGCTGCGAGATCAATATAAAACTGGCTCTGATCATCTTTGCGCTGAGCTCTTTATTTATTCTGACGGATGTGGCGCTGCTGCTGATGCGACGCCACATGGAAAAGCTGCTGAGGACTCTTGCAGAGGAAGAGCTGGCGCAGAAGGTGAAGTGATTGTCATGTGGAGGGTGGATCGGGTCCAAGGTGGATCTTGCCAGTGACACGTCCGTGAAGAGACCCGACCCACGGTTTAGTGTGTCTGCTCCCGCCCTTAGTTTTTTTTTTTTGTAGTTTTTTTTTTTTTTTTTTTCTTCGTTCGTGTGTCTCTCTCTCTCTCTCTCTCTCTCTCTCTCTCTGTGTGTGTGTGTGTGTGTGTGTGT